ACACACACACACACACACACACACACAAATGTTCATTGACAGAATCTGCCTGAATGGTTTTTCATAAAGTTGGCTGCAACTTATGCTCAATCTTTACAATTGCTGCTGTTGCTAATTCATTTGTGATTGTTTGCTCCCATTTAGGAATAAAGTATGAAATACTTTGTTAAAAATAGTGCAAAGTCGGCACTATAGTATCTATTTCCCTTCTGTATTTAATATTTAATGATTTTAGAAGTCTCTTTTAAACAATTTGCTTAATTTTGTACAATTTTCTTAACCGCAGCATCCAATGTGTTCATGTGATGGTTACAATCTAAGTTATTTAAGACACAAATGCCTAGCACAGTAGAGCTACCTCATTAAGGGTATCGGTTGTAATTCTTGGACCATTCCCAGACCTATTTATTGAAGAGTATGCTTTCTTCTTGCTATCCTTAAGCTTCTTCCCACACTAATTCAGAACTAGTGTTGAATTTCCCTTTTTGCTACAGTCCAGTATGTGATATAACTGCAGCGGGAATTAAGAATTAAGCAGGGGATGTTGCAAATTCTCCCAAATTGGCCTCTTCAGTGATACTAGCCTGAAGTCCTGTTACTTTCAGGCCTGCCTTGAGGGCCATATGCTTTTCACAGACCTGTGAAGGTTTTGTTGGTGTTAGGAAAAAAAGTTTTTGAAGTTAGTTTAAACAGGCATTTCCTGCTTGTCGTATTATTTCTCAGCCTGTCAGTATTGAGATGAAGGCACCTGTTGACCATTTTGTGTCTCTGGAAGTTTGAATTTGGAAGAGTGAGTCTTCACTCAGACTATAAGGGCTTTCTACTTTTAAAATTTATTCAATCAGTGCTTGCCATTTTTATAAAAATCAAAGTTGGGAAAAAAGTCTGAATCACAGGACATTATAGTTATGGACGCATGCCTTTAGGCAACTGAGTCACGTGCTCCTGTCCTTCTTTAGTGCAGCAACTCACACACTGCACTGGCCTCCCACCCCGCCACCATGCCTTTTCCGTGTGAGCTGCTCTGATACTTCCCTGAGCAGCCTTCGGACAGAGCACCTACCGTTAGGACTGCTAGTGGTGAAGGCTCTGTCTGCTGTTAGCGTCCTAAAAGCCTTTCTCGGTAAGCCAGGATCTAAACAAATATTTTGATTTCTGGTATTTCTGTCAGTATATTGTGTCTAAAATTCTAATGCCACAATGAGAATTTAATTGAAGCACAAGTCTTGTCTCCATTATTTTTGCCACAAGCAGTGGATTCTGCAGTGTGTTGAAAGGCACCTTTTTATTATGATCCACACCCAAATACTCCCTTCTCACTTTAATAAAAACAAAGGCTTCCTGTATTGCACCACTTCTGTTTTTGCAGTGTTTCACATTAAATAACTTTGCTGAAGTTCTTAAAATGTCACTGATAAACACCATTAAGTCTGATGAGAAAAATGTGGGATGCACATTATAAAGGGGTGCGCTCTCCTTCCTGCAGGGTCATGGGTTTGTGTGCTATCAAGGCCAATATAGAGCCTGCCACTCATCCCAGGGCTAGAAGGACTGCTGCCCATAAACTGGCCACCTTAGTACCTTGGTCATCAGTGGTGGTCTTTGCAGCCAACATTACTTTAGACATTAGGTGAACATTACCCTTCCACAGCGGACAGCATACATCAGTGGAAAAGACAAAAAAGTTCTGGGTTGATAAAGAAAGCTAGGTGTTTTATTTTCTTTGATGTTTAAAAAACAACGGACAGATTATGGAAAGACCTTTAAGGTACAGTCACTTCATCTTACAGGTATGTGATGACTTAATCTTAAGGCATTGCCTGGGACATCAATCTAGACACTTTCACACAATATTTGGTATGTTTCTGGTGCTGGGAATAATGCAAACGAAAATAATTTGGATAAATTTTCCCATTCAGCAGGAGCTGATAGGCATAATAGTTATATTGCTAATGCAACCAGCTCTGTTATCTTTATTCATCATCTACAATAAAAGAAAAATGAAGCAAAACATTTGAAACTTGAACTTCCTCTATTCATTCATTGTCATTCTTTTGGCGGGACTGTAAAAGCCTTCAAGCTTTAGACTGGATTACAGTGCCCTCTGCTGACTTAGTTACTAAGGACAAACTTAGTTTGGGGATCAGGACAGGATGGTATGGGAACTGTCCCTGTGACTGAGATTATGTTTAAGAATTCTACCTACAAGAGGTGGATAATCTGATGACATACTCATAGGATCCATACAGCAGATCTAATGAGATAGAATGGGGTAGAATTTTGGAGGAAATGGGAATAAGCTGGTTAAAACTTTCTAAATTAACTAGATTATTAGGGCATAGACCAGTGGTCCCCAAACTTGTCAAATTAAGAACTATTATTATATGATCCACCTTTGTAGATTTACATAACAAAAACAAAAACACTAAAAAGATATATGTACCACTATTTTCACTATAGCATTTTTAAAAAATATATTAAAAGATGTATTTATTTATGCTTACAGAACTGGAGTAGAGGCCAGAAGTGTGGTGGGTGAGAGGGTTCACCAGAGACAGAGTGGGGAGCAGAACAGGCAGATCAACAGAAATGCACTGCTGAGGGGAGCAGCGGTGGGTCAGGAGAGGTCTGCCATGCCATGTGGGTCAGCTCTCTGCCAGGGGATCGAACTCATGCTGCAGTGGCTTTGGAGAGCTTCACATTGCAGTGCATTAACCCACTGGCACCACCAGGGAGGCCCTCACTGTAGCATTTTTTTTACAGTAGTTTTGAGGTGTGGAAACAATCTAAATATTTGTTGATAAATACTGGGGAAATCTGTGATGTGGTGTATACACAACATGGAATACCACTGAACCATGAAAAAGACTGAAATCTTGCCATTTGCAACTACACAGAAGGATCTTGAGAGTATAATGCTAGGTGAAATAAGTGAGACATATTGAGTGATTTCATTTTTATGTAAACTAAAAAGCAAAACAAGCAGCAAAACAAAACTAAAAACACAAAGACAGAAAAGCAGACTGATGGTAATCAGAGAGGAAATGGATAGAATAGGTGAAGAGGATCAAGAAAGTACAAACTTTCACTTACAAAATAAACAAGTCAAGAAGTAACTTGCAGCAGGAGCAGGGTGATCAGTAACATGATGCTGCAAATGTAAAAGCTGCTTAGGTAGTAAATAATTTTATTGTGATGATCATTTTACAATGTATACAAATGTGGAATCTTTGTGACACACACTTGTAACATTCCATGCCAATTATACTTACAAAAAACTTAAAAAGTTGAATGAAGCTTTGTGAAATATCAATAGAGACCAAAGTCACATAAAATCACTTAATTGTTTAAATATGAGTAAGTGTCCATGTACCACACAATCACGACCATATACATATATATAATCTATAAAGCCATAGGCACCCCTTCTAGGAGCCAATTTATACACTCTATTCCATTCATCTTAACTAATGATGTAACAGCACTATCAAAAGAGAAACCAGGTTAGTGCTTGATGAATCCAAGTAGCTGCCTCCTTTTTTAAGTATTCATCAACATTTGGCTGTGTTCAGATATTAAGCTTGTCGAAATCTGCCCTTTACCACTACTGAAAATGAGAATAGAAAACAAGAGTTATGTCTACGGCCATACCACCCTGAACGCGCCCGATCTCGTCTGATCTCGGAAGCTAAGCAGGGTCGGGCCTGGTTAGTACTTGGATGGGAGAAAACAAGAGTTATTTCTTCCTGAGGACTATCTGATTACTTTACTGTGTATCAATTTTTTTCTTTGAGTATTTACCCGACAGAAATTAAAAGGATAGACAATTTCTACTTAGGCAGAATCATGACTCAAGGGTACAGAGATTATGCCTGCAGAACAAGCTTGCCAATATGAAAAAACCTAAGACAGCCTAGTAAGCAGCAACAAACAGCAGACATTTCTTTCTCTACAGTAAAACTGATTTTCAACATGAAAATTGCTATACTTACATGACATTCTTATGTAGTGACTGTCTCAAAATCAGGCAAAGAATTTTAAATAACAATTTTGGAAACCACAAGGTCATCCTCTTAGAAAAGTCCCAATTCTAGTGCTCTCTGATGAGCTCTCAAAAGCAGTTTCAGTTCTAGAAAGTTGATCCTCTTGGAATTATTTTGGGACTCTTCGGAGTTCACTCATGAGCCAAAGGGCACCACTGAGCAGCGCCAAGGAGCCCGACTGGTGAGTGGCAGCCAAAGGCGTAGGGACGTACATAAGCAGAGTGCTAATGCCCAGGCCCACCTATTACAAAGGAAAGAAATGGTAAATAAAGTAGAAACCACAAAGTCCGAGCTCGAATGACTGGGCATGGATAACCAGATACACAAGCCTCTGCATTCTCCCATCAGAGCATTAAAATTTTAAATGAAAAATTCACAAGCATACTTATAACAAAGAAAATTCAAACAAAATGAAATTTTCTCATTTCTTTTACCTATACCATGTCCGTTCCCCAAAGGTCGCCACTGTTAATCAGTTTCTACATGCTTGTTATCTTGTGTTTTGTTCTGTCTCTTGCTTTTTTTTTTTCTTAGTGCGTGTCTTGATATTTTACTATTTTAAACTGCTGCCCCTATTCCACAGTATATATGTACCATAGCTATTTAACAGCCTAGTTTGTTTTCAGCTTCTCCCTACACAGTAATTCTGCAATGAATTTTCTTGTCCATTGCTCTTGGGCATTAGAGCATCTGTAGGGCAAGCACTAAGAAATCAATTTGCTGGGTCTGGTGATTATACATCTAATGTTTTAAAAGACACTAAACTGCCCTCTGGGGGGAAACCAGTATCAACCACGTTCTTGCCAAGACAACATGAAGATGACCATTTCTGGATCCCCACGTTCACTTTAGTAGACCCATGCCAATACTTGACAATCTTTTTTTCCAATTTGAGAGACACAAAATGGCAAGCATTGTTTTAAGTTGCTTTTCTGAATGAGGCCAGTTTTTCGAATTAGTTGCCATTCATCATTCCTCTGGTGAAATTAAGTATTGATAGCTTTGATTTTCTGATTGCTAAACTTAATCCATTATAAAATTTGAAAATATTTTCTCCAAGGAACTCCAGGGGTGCAACTGGTTAGTGCACAGTACTTACATGAAAGTACTTTCTCCTAGTTTATCACCTTTCCTTTTTCACTTTATTTTGGGAACATCCTCATATCAAAAAGAAATGGTCCATACCTGTGTATATGCCAGAGCTAGCAGAGTTGCTGCTGCTATCTTGGTCCTTCGAGGAAGGGGAACCCTCCGGGAGAGGAAATAGAGCGCGGTGATGGCGGTAACTGAAGTGATTCCCTGCAAGGAGGAAAGTCTCATGAAATGCCAGGGAGAAAGCCTCACCTTTCTCGGTTCCACTCGCTTTCTGTCTCTCTCTCCCAGAGGCAATGAGAAACCACTACACACACTCATGTCCTGGCAGAGAAGCCCCCTGCAGGTCTCCTCTGAATAACCCACCCTGTCTCCTCATGCTTCTGCTTGCAGACTAAATGTCTGTGTCCCAGTCTCTAACATTCTGCACATAACACTTAACCACTATTCTATCTTTAATGACTTTATCCACCTTAGAATCTGGGTATTTCCTAGTCAATGACCTTAATTTTTAAATTATTCTTTGCATCTTTCCCTCTAATTCTGTATTTGTGAAGTGGGGCTGACCCAGCATGAGAGAGATATTACTTTCCTGTGTGCAGAGGGAGGTAGCGGTGTTGCCATTTAGTGTTAAAAATGATGAATTCTTATTTTCACTTTTATCTGTTCAGAATGAGGGTCTGAGACCGACAGGGCCCCCTTCCCCTACCCACAGTGTCCAGAGGCATGTTTCTTCTATCATATGTCTGTACCTATTTCACTTCTTTTCCTTTCCAGAGTTGCCCATGATGACAATTCCAACCAGACTTTACTTATTTCAAAATGTGTGGAGGTGGGGAATTTGGATGCAGAGGGTGTGGGTAATTAGGATAAAGCATCAGAGCAGGGAACTGGACTAAACCTTTTCTAAAAAGAAAAGAAAATGTCCACTCTACCCTGTCACTGTTGCATCAGGGCTTCACTGATACCCCAGCTCCCGTGAGAGGCCCCTTGTGCTTACTGATGGGTAACCACCAGACAGGCTTACCAGAACCCGGTGATCAAACTGCACCATGGTGGGATTCTCAAAAACATTCTTCAGAATAGGGGAGAAGGTGAAGAGATCGTCTGGGATCCAAGATTCTCCCATCTTGGGGAAGGAGTTGTAAACAAGTCCAGCATCTAGCCCTGCCACAAAAGCCCCTATATTCCAATATAAACAGAAATGAGAGAAAGGCCAGATTAACAATTAGTTCTGATACAGTAAAAGCTTTTTTGTATGAGTAAGACAAAAGACAAAAAATAAAAACATCTACAATCGGTGTTCTCAAACAGGGAATATGTATCACAATCATTGTAAACTAGAAAAACAAATGCATAGATGACATAATATACACAGGAAATTCAAGACTCTACCAAAAAAAAAAAATCCTACTAGATATAATAAACACAGTAAAATGGCAGGATGAAAGTCAATATACAAAAGTCTGGTGCATGTCTATATGAAAATAATGAATTAGAGGAAAGAGAAGTTAAATGCCCATCAGCACAAGGGGCAAGTGTGAGAGGCAATATGAAGGTGTGAGGGAAAAGGGCAAAGCACTAGGTGAGAGACCCTGCGAGAACAAAGCAGGCCGTCTCCGATGGCAGCAGCCTACCCGAGAGAGCAGTGAGGAACACGAGGCCTGTTGTTCCATGAGCAAATCGTCTCAACCACAGAAGCTGGCGGGTTTCAGGCAACTAAAAAAGAAAAGAAAATCACGGAGGTCAATTGTACTGTGAGGACCTATGAGAGAAAGCCAAAATCTTAACATGAAACCCAAGTGACAGTTACAGGCCAGATTTTCTCTGACGCCTAGACCAGGTTCAGAACTCTCAGTAGATATTCTACACTGACAGGGTCATGTTTTATTTCTACAGTTACCAGCCCCCCTGTTACCATTTAGGTTTAGTAAGGCAGGATTTGTCATCTGTTTGGCTCTCTGCAGTAACCCTAGACTAGCACCTGCGCGTAGGTATTCGATATACACCTGCTCAATAGCAGAGTGATTTGCATGACTCAAATGGAAATTGCTTACCATGGTTGAAATAATATGCATTAAGATACAGATCTGGGCCTTCATGTTGTATGTGATATGTAGTGCTTAGCAAATATACTCAAGATCAAAAGTGCACCTGGATTCAAGAATCCTGTATTTAGTATTTTGGGGAATGTTTAAATTTGGCTGCTTTTATTGTATCTAAATTCTGGTACTAATTTGGATCTGGATCAACAGATATTAAGAACTTTATAAACAGTTAAACCTGTAAATACAGGTAATTCCTGTAAAAATACAGGAATTAAATCAGAATGCTGTCCTCAAATAGTTCACACTCTATTATGTGAAGAGTGAGACATCATTACTAAGATACTGCAGAGCAGTATATCGGCACTGTCCACAGAATGCTCTATAGTGATGGAAACATTCTATTATCTATGCTTCTAGAATATGGCTAATAAGGACCTGACATATAGCTAGTGCAACTGAAAAGTAAACAATTTTTATTTAAAAATTAATTTTATTAACAAAATTTAAATAGCTACATTGCAACTGGTAGATACTTTATTAAAAAGCATAGTACCATATTGTTATTTCAAATTCTATCTGTAATTAATGGAACACTGAGAAATGGACAAAAATAAAAATATTAAGCAAACCACTTCAGCAGAGAGAACACTGGAGAAATGTGTGGGTCTCTGTATAAGTGGGTGAAGGTGTGGGTGTGTATGTAGGGTTGGGTGGGGAAGGCAGATGACAGGAGTTGAAGACAAAGAATGAGTTGTCAGGAAGAACAGCTACAGATGCAGGCAATTCATTTCAGAAGTTAGGCTCTGAAAGGCCAGAGAAGAGGAATTACTACAATGTGGATTACTGCTATCAATGTTTCTACCCACCAAAGGTTATAGTGTTCTGAAAATTTCTATTATTAGTATTGACAGTCTATAAAAATAACTCATGCCTTGTATTTAAACCAAATTAAAAAAAAATGTAAAAGCTAGCATAGAGAAAATACTTCTAGACAAGATCATGAAAGTCTACTGAATTGTAAGACCTAATCAATGGTGAGTCCTCATCTAAAGAGAAAGCAACCCAATATGGCCCTTGTACGTAGGGCCTTTGATCAAGAAGTGGCTTTCATTTTGACCTGCCTCCCCACCCCCGGAACCCTCCTGTGAGAGCCGGCAGTAAAGTGGTCTGGTCGCAGCACACCCTCGTGCTGGGACTCACCCCACTTTCCCAGAATTCAATTTTTACCTCTGTCAATCAGCAGTGCTGACAAAATACTTGGTTCCCATAGTAATTTCCTGTGAATTAGCTGCTCCAGCCCAAAATACATGTTACTTTACAGTTGCAAAGTATTCAACACCCCAAAGTTCAGTGTTTCTCTAAACTTCGATTATACCTAGTTTCAGGTCCATTGATAAGATATTACCAAGGAACAAGAGCATTTGATAAAACTTCTGCTAGAACCAGAGTTTCCATTTATCTGACCTTGTCAACATCTGTGCAGATGTGGTAACAATACAGATTGACTTTTACCTTGTGCTGAGGGAGCAGCAGTGAGAGTGAGGTCCACAAACTGGAGCAATAAAGAACAAGGGCTGACCCCAGGTGAGCAGCAAGGCGGTACTGACTGACCCGAGGGATGTCGTGGGAGTCTGGTTTTTCTTCTAACCCACTTTTCACCATATACCATCCTAACAGACCCTAGGAAAAAAGAGAAGAGACAAATAAAAACTAGTTGAGGGCCCTCCCTGGTGGCGCAGC